CACTTTGCGTTTTGCATCGGAGAGCGCGAGTTCTTTCAACCATTTGTTGAAGGCTCTGACTGCAAGAGTGGGTGGCATGTTTTGAGTGAGCCACGGATTGACACTGGTGGTGCCGACCAGGAGAGATGAAGGATCAAAGCCCGGTGGTGCAGGAGGAGCTGGTTGCTGAGAGCTTCGAAGAAGAGCAGCTTGGATGGGTGTGGCAGCAGGGCCAGATGATGAAGGGCCAGTGGTGCCCGGAGAAGAGGAATCGCCTGGGGTTTCCCCGAGTTGTTGTCGCAGTTGGGCAAGTTGACTCCGGAGTTGAGTCAGTTCATGCTGAGTGTCAGGGTCTGCCATTCGGGTAGGAACCCAAGTGTGGATCAGGTCTGCAATCTGTTGAGCAGCATACTTGGTGTTGTTGGTCTTGTCCAGCAACTTTCCATCCTGTCTGGCTTTGCAAGATGACACCTTGTCTAGGTCCACCCCTTTGTTCCGAAGTTGGGTCAATAGCTCCGTCATAAATACCACAGCTGCGATGTCCCCCGTTGGAATCAGGTACAATTCACGCCCATGAGCCAGCTTCCGAAGCCAGAAGTTGTTGGCCTGCTGATATAGTAAGGCCGCTACCGGTAGCTTCAAAGGGTCGCATCCCTCGATGTCCAGCTTCTGTGTAAAAGCTGAAGGTCGAATACATCGAGGGAAGGTCAAACCGTTGATCTTCTGATTGTCGTAATGGTCTTGATCTTCTTGCCAGTGAGGGTTAAGATCGAAGCCATATGTGCGACTTTCATCAGTGGTAGTCTGTCCTCCTGGTGACTTGGAGAATGGAGTGCCGGAATGGCGAGGTTGTGACGACGGGATCGATGGAGTGCTGGGCGAAGCCAGTTGAGTTGGAGCACATGGAATCGTAGGTGAACATGGTGGAGTGACTGATCTGGATTGACGTGGATAAGCAAGTGTTGGTGGTGGTGACGAAGGAGGTGCAGGTGGAAATCTTGGATTGGCTGATGGAAATCTTGGATGTGGCCATGTGGTCATCGAAGCCGATGGATCTGTTGATGTAGTCATCATGTAAGGTCCCGGCTGGCGTATATTGAACTGAGGCTGAAACTGAGGTCTGGACTGAGGTCGTAACATCTGTTGAGAGTGCCAGATCGCTGATTGCATAGGACCACACCATCGCGGAAAGAAAGGAAGATCTTGCCGTACAGGAGGACGAGGAGGGTCAGGTTCAGCGCGATTTCGAACAGGTGCTGGTGAGCGGGATCGATCAGACTCTGCCATAGTGGCGTGATCAACTCAAAACTTACTGATGGATCAAAAAGGCTGCGGTGGTTGCAACGATTGACAAGATGAGATGAAATGGATCATCAAATGTATGGTACCTTGACGCTTTCAAGCAAAGTTGGTCCTTGTATCAAACACACAAAACAAACCTGATCAAAAGAAATGAAATCCATCAAGGCGAAACACAAGTTGAATGGGCAGGTCAGCTGTTGCAATGGAGCATTTTTACCAAAGCGTTTGTCCAGGAAATCCCTAGAAAGAAGTCATGATCCTGTTTAGGACAAATAAGCTAGAGATACACGATCTGAGAGTGCTGTCTTAAGTGCTCAACGTCGAGGTCTGGCTGCACGCCGTTCCTCGTTGGCTCGGTAGTTGACATTGTCCTCAGAGTCGGTGTCCCGCAGATCAATAGGGCGTCGTGCCAGTCATCATCCTTGAGGTCTGACCATTTGATCGCGATGAATTTCAGCCCCACGTGGTAGCTGTGAGCAATCGTGTACTTCTCAGGAGTGGTGACGATTCCCTTTTTAGCTACATTGAGCTGACATTTCTCGTTCCCTCCAGCGCGTAGTGAAAGATGTTCCAGTGATCCTCTATAGATCGCCCCAATGGTGATCTCTTGCTGGCCTTTTCCTTTCTTCTCCATAGAATCGAGCAGTTCTTGTTCTGCCCATGATGAGATGTTCTTATCAGCATTCGCAATCTGTCGGCCTATGTAGAAGGCTCCAAAGGTGGGCACGTGACATCGCTGTGGATTTTTGTGATAGGACCAGTTTGCTCGGATCTTGCCCTCCATGAGAATCAGCTGGGAGGTACTGAGGGTCGTACCATGGCCAAGTGCCCATGTGATGAGGGTTTGGCTGCCAAAGGGTGGAGGCATTTGAAACCGACTCATTTCTGGTAACGGCATGACCAGGGCCAGCATGCCTGTTTGAGGAAGTTCTCGAACATAGCATGCGGAAAGATCAAAATCTGTCAGGATGCCAGTACTCGACAATAAATGTATGGCCTTCCTGCCAATGTCTGTTGGGATTCTAGAATCCACTTTAATTCAGTTCTTCCATCGCTTCCTCGAAGTGCTCTTGGACAATACTCGTGGATGGTTGTGGAAGCTCCTTGGCATCAAGTTCATTTGCCGCTCTCATCCGATCGGGATGGGTGAGAGCATGTTTGACTTGACGAGCCCATTCCTCTTTGGAACCTTCTTGAAGGTTGATGGCAATATGACCAGGTGGAAGAGTGGAAGCTCGGGACTGAGCAGAACCCGAGCGATTGGGATGATTGCCATGGTTGTGTGAGCGCTGTTCCAGCGAGAATGCCGTCAAAGGTTTTGAGGGATATCTGGTAAGATTGATGTTTGTAGTACGGCTTTGAATAGTCGACCCATCCGGAGGGATGTGTGTGATATTGAGACTTGGACTGGTCTTTCCAAGACTGCCAGGACTTCCACTTTTTGGTGGAGCTGTGGTCATGGTAGGTGGAGTGGTCATGGTAGTCCGACTTGTCGGAGATTGAAGGTTGTTCGTAGTGATGGTCGTTCCAAGGTTCAGGTTGATGGGTAGTGGATGGATAAGTATAATCATCACGTCAACGATGTTCATCTCGCTGATGTGGTACTTCACGATGACGTGGGGAGTTGGATCGAAGAGTGACTGACTGGGGACGGCTTGGAGGCATGGAGTCATCACGTGAGCGGGAATGTCGTCGACGGTGACGTGGACGGCTATCACGTCTGTGACGTCTCGGACTTCTCGGGATCGAAATTGGACGTTTGTCCACTTGAGTTGGAATGTGTTTTGACCGTGACCTGGAACGGCGATGAAGCCGTGGAAGTGGTGGTAACGGGACGACAGGTGGAGACTCTGCGACTGGAGTCGCTGGTGGAAGTTGTGACACACTTGGATGAGGACTCTTAGACCTTTCTTTGGTCTTTTCCATAAACGCCTGCATGCCCGATTCCACTGTGTGACGCATCTGTTGAATCATCTCTTCTGGATTGAAAGTGATGTTGGGCCCTTGTTGACCGGGTTGAGATGGAGTTGGAGCAGGAGGTGTTTGGGCTGGTGGCACCGTTGGTGGATCAGGTACTGACGGAGGAGTCTGATGAGATGCGGTTGGTCGAGGAGGCTGATGGAATGGGAGAAGCTGCTGAAGTTGCTGGATATGGGTCTGAGCTTGGGAATTCAATTGTTGATTCAATAGTGTATTCTGTTCCCTTAACTGAGCCAACTGAGCTTGAGTCTGAGCTTGTGACTGAGCTTGAGACTGTTGGTTCATCATATCACCTCCACAAAATTGACCAAATTGTGCTGCAGGTTGAGGTGGAGTAAAGGCAGGCGCTGACCAGCCAAAGTTCCACATGTTCTCCGAAAGGTTTGGCCAACGACCAGGAAACATGGCCAAATTTGACAGGTCTGGCAGCACTGTCAGACGATCACTATAATGGTAAAATCACTAACATTTGATGCATCCACAACGCATGCAAAATTCGTGATAAGGCTCGAAGGCCCTCGGTATTCAAGTCACAACCCTCTGGACAGCTTACGTGTTCAACCCCTGAATTAGGTGCACAAATTCAACCTCACCAGAGAAACCAAAAAGAAGTGACCACACCTGTAAAGCATGTCCTGTTACCTCGAATGTCATGTAAATGGCTGCGGTCTGTCTCTTGAGTTCCAGTAAAAAGGCCGATTGTTGTCGTGGCTTCCAGCTATGCACATCGGTAAGAAGGAAGATCCCCGAGACAGCGGGAAGCTGTTTAACACTCACTCGACCGACCTGTGAGACAATGAAAAGGCCAGCGGTTCACTTTACTTAAACGAATTACTAATTCAAAAGTGTAAATTCAGACATCGTTTTACTGTCAATTGTTAGCCTGGAAAGGCTTTCCCCGAAGGGTTCCTGCCAACTTGACGTAAACAGCAGGAATGACACACTTGCTCAGAAACAGCAATGCGAATTTTGTTGTGGAATGCATCTCACGTGCACAAAACAGTCCCTTAAAAACTGCCAGGAAAATTTGTTGCTCCAGCGTGAATTTCAGTACGGAGTAAACTTTCTACGTCCTTGCTCTGAGGAAGGTTCTGAAGCAGCTTTTTCAATCATAAAAATCGTAGAATAGGCAGATTGTGGCAACAGTGCAGAAAAGAAGTTGAAAACAAATCGACATGCCGGTTCTTGGCTTAGCCGGTTTCCATGGACGGAAATGAGAATTGGTGCAGGTACGCAGATTGTCGTCCCAATCTGCATCACCAGATCAAATGGGTGTCTTCGTTGGTAGCGGTCCCAAATGATCTGCCGCTACCCCCTGCAAGTATAATTCAAAAGCGAAAACCACGAAAAACAACCATCATCGAAACAAAGGAAGTTTTACATCTTTTCAGATGGTCCACACACACACACACACACTTGATGCTTCGAGTACGCTAGAGATGTGCTATGCTCATGATCTAAGTTTGATGTGATTTGCCCAAGAACTTGATGGTACGCTAGAGATGTCGCGAATTTGACGAACGTCACTTGAACGTATTTCAAAGCGGCTCGTTTTGATGGCAGTGTTCCATTTTTTGCTAGCAAAAACAAAATGAATAAAACGACCTTCAGAAGGACGGATAACACCCAAGCCGTGTTTTCTCAAACAAGTACAAACAAACCCAACCAAAACCAAAACCACGCAAACATTTGTGTTTGTCAAAGCCTCACTTCACCATGGCCCCGCCCTGGAAAGCCACCTCCTTAGCCAGTGAATCGCCAGCTGCCACTGCTTTGCTTCCCGCAGGGCGCCCAAGCTGCAAAGATATGACGCCAGATTGGGTTGTAATTTCCTAAGGCACATCGAAAAACCATTGGCCGCACGAATGACCCAAATTTCATGCCATCTGGACGGGGTCAATTTCGTGAAACTGGTCTGACCCAAATTTCATCAGAATTCATGCCAGATAAAAGGACAATGCATTCAGAGGGCATTATAATCATTATAATGTCGCTGGTTCCATCAGAATCAAACCGCAATCCCCGATTTTCTACCAGGTGTCTGCTGCTGCATCCCTTCCAGAACAGCCAACGCTTCTCGCCAAGAGGACTCGTTCGCCAAGGCCATGATAGTCGTATTGTGTGTCACGATGCGTTGAGCCACCTTGGCCTCGGCCATCTTGGTGTCCAAAAAAAAGCTCAAATTGCTCGCAGCAAAGGTAACATGTGGTCACTGCTCAAGGAAAATAAAGAATAGCTCTATTTTGAGTTTCGGCAGTCGATCATCATGCCTCCTGTTGTAGATTGTTCGCCCCGAGTTGGTGATTTGATTCCTTGTCCCGGCCTCTTGCACAGGTAAAGATAGGGAGATATCAAAATGGCGAATGAAAAATCAGGAAAATATAGGGAAATGATGATTCAACCATGGGATGTTTTTCGGACAAACCCACTTGGGTTCCTATCAAAATACATGCCCCGCAGGATAACCCTTTGCAGCCATGACTTCCACCTTCATCAAGAAGGAAGTCGCTGTCATCCGTCGGCATTCCTGAGACTTCGTGCTGCGGTGCGAGCCGAGGCCACCTTGAACAGCACCCAACCGGAATCAAAAAACCACCAAGAAAAATTCACCAATCCAGACTAAAATAGTCATTCTCCCCATCAACATTACAAAAATATTACATTAGTAGTCATTCTCCCATTGATACGGGCTTATTTGAAACTAGGCTACCCGGCTACCCCGTAGTGTTAAATAGACAGGCTTAATCATCATATTCCCTCTGAAATTGCCAAGTGCCCAATAAAAAACCACCCAATACGTCAGATTGCTGCCAAAGACTCCTGACCCTTGCCGGCACGTGCCAGTGCTGCCAGTACCGCATTGAAGGCCACAATGTCCAAGACCAGGCGACGACTCCTCAGTAACGCTTCTTGAGATCTCCCTGAATTTGCCAATATTTGCAGTTACTAGATGCATATATAATTATACATATATTGCATGTATAGAAGTACCGTGTAAATATAATATATGTATATATACATATAGCTATTGTCCTGTAACTTGTACTTTCTCTTTCTCACGTGGTATCACCCGCGGCAAAAGATGGAGAAAAGCGGTACGTTCCAACAAATCAGATCAACTGTGATTGGTACAGTATGTCTCAGAATTCCAGTTCATGCGAGTGCCATGTGTCCTTCACTGTGATACAACATCAGTCTTGCAAAACTCACCCGACTTAACTAATTTCCAAAAAGACTCAGCTATCCTCCAGTATCCTCAAAAAACTCTCACCTACATCAACTGGACGGGAGTGCGCGCACGTGTGTGCCCAGCAAATGGTTGGGGTTCCATAAATCAGTCTGCGAACTACCAAGACTCACTTGGATTTGCGTAGGGGGCCATTAAAACAAAGATAAATAATCATCATAAATCACAATAATCACAAATCACAATCTGACCATTAAAACAGATCACCAACTTCTGGGGTTGCATCAATGGTGTAGCACAGCTGAAGCCATGTGGCTGTGCCAGGTGCAGCAGTTGCAGAGCCAACGGCCACTGTGCCTTGCCACAAGCAGCCACCAAGGAGGTAAAGGCGACAATGCCTCGGTCTCAGGGATGTCCCAGACAGAACTGGCTCTAATTGCAATGGTTATAAGTTATTAAGTTATAGCTATTGTTAACAATGCTATAATGATAGTTCATGATATGTATTATAATATACTAATGCAATATTAATGAAATTAACAACAGTTACAAATGATAGTAGAACTGCTACTTGAGAGGGGGAACAAGAAAGGTAGGTGATCAAGAAGGGAAAACAAAGCCTCTCCGTGTAAAAGTTGGCTGTGTGTAAAAGCGTGCTGTGTGCACAAGTTTCTGTGTAATTTGTTTCTGTGTAAAGGCATCTGTGTGTAAAAGCGTCTGTATCAAAACTGCTGTGCATAAAGACTTCTGTGCGTAAAGGTTTCTGTGCGGAAAAGATCCTGCGTGTAAAAGCTGCTCTGGGTAAAGTTTCTGCGTGTGCAAGTTTTGGTGTGTAAACATTTCTTTGTGCAGTCTGTGTGGACAAGTTTTTCTGCGCTAAAGTTTTCTTGTGTAAACGTTTTTTTGTGTAAAAGTTGTTCTGTGCAAAGGTTTCTATGTGTAAAAAGTTCTGTGTGCCTTTTTTATGCGTGCAAAAGCATCTTTGTGCAAAGCATCGGTGTGTAAAAACCTCTGTGTGTATTTTTTTTGCGTAAAAGCCTCTGTGTGTAAAGGCGTCTGCGTGTAAAACTTTATCTGTGCACGAACCTGTCTGTGTAAGAGTATCTGCGCATAAAAACTGTTCTGTGTAAATGTTTCTGTGCGTAAGATCGTCTGTTTGTAGAAACCTATCGGTGCAAAACGCGTCACCACAGCAAAATCGCAACAAACATGAAACAATAAGCTTTGGTGGCTCCCACAATAGCCGCAATGCTTGATTTTTACAAATCTTTCTGAAGCTTTCTGCGAAGCCAAGCGCTGGAAACACCTCGGCCCTGCACCACAGCCCCAAAGCCTCCCCGACCGCTTCTCCGGAACCTTCTCCGGAACCTTCTCCGGAATCCTGTTGAACCTGACTTGGCTTTGCACCAAGGCTTCCTAGAACCTTTTCCGGAACCTTCTCCGGAACCCTGTTGAACCTGACCTGGCTCTGCACCAAAGCCTCCCAAACCTTCTCCGGAACCTTCTCCGGAACCTTCTCCGGAACCTTCTCCGGAACCTTCTCCGGAACCCTGTTGAACCTGACCTGGCTCTGCACCAAAGCCTCCCAGACCTTCTCTGGAACCTTCGGAACCTTCTCCGGAACCTCGTTGAACCTGACCCGGCACCTGCACCAGTGCACACCGGAGCTATTCTGGGCTGAAGACCCCATTACCTTACGCTGTTGAAGAAAAAAATCCACACTCAAATGCTTGCTGTCGTTACATTGTTGATGATGGCGGTGATGCACGCAGGACCCCACAAGGCGTCATGTTGGCTGTGTTAAGCCAAAATGTTAAAATGTCTTCGGGGCAAAAAGCAACACAAATTTCCATGTTTTTGGCGCCTCATATGTCATAGGCCAAAAAACACGGTACTGTTTTTTTGTTGTGGTGTTGTTGTTGTTGTTGTTGTTGTTGTTGTGGTTGTTGTGGTTGTTGTGGTTGTTGTGGTTGTTGTGGTTGTTGTGGTTGTTGGTTGTTGGTTATTGTTGTTGGTTGTTGGTTGTTGGTTGTTGTTTGTTGGTTGTTGGTTGTTGGTTGTGGTTGTGGTGGTTGTTGTTGTTGTTGTCGTTGTTGTTGTTGTTGTCGTTGCTGGTGTTGCTGGTGTTGCTGGTGTTGCTGGTGTTGCTGGTGTTGCTGGTGTTGCTGGTGTTGCTGGTGTTGCTGGTGTTGCTGGTGTTGCTGGTGTTGCTGGTGTTGTTGTTGTTCTTCTTCTTCTTCTTCTTCTTCTTCTTCTTCGTCTTCGTCTTCTTCTTCTTCTTCTTTCTTCTTGTTGCTGCTGTTAACTATGGTATTTTACAGCTTTAGAAGCCCAACCCCCCAGAAATTCCATTGCAGCAGTAGGATTCCGTTTCTGAGTGTTTTCAAAGGCCAGGGGCAGGAGTTCGCAGAGGTCATGATCTATGTGTATCCAATTGACATATCTAAGCTAAAGTCTGGCGTCCGGAGGACCGCCCCACCTCCTTTGGAAGCCCAAAAAATACGTGGGGGGGATGGATATTTCACGTGGTCAGGTGAAATATTTCTTAATTTGTTCTTGCCTTCCCCCCCCCAAATGGGCAAGGGGCTCGAGCTCACTTTTGGGCATAAATGTTTAAGGTTCACTTTGGGCATAAATGGGATCACTTTGGGCATAAACGGCAATTCTTTTGGATTTCTTTGGGGTTTCTTTCGGGCTCCCTTGCCTTCACTTCCAACACCAACTTTCGACTCACTTCCAGTTTTTATGTTGTTGCAAGTAATGGAACCAGGGACATGACACCTTTAGGGTTTTTATGTTGTTGTAAGTAATGGAACCAGGGACATGACACCTTTCTATAGTGTTTATATGTTGCTGCACTTAATGTAAGAAGAGCCACGACACCTTTAGGGTTTATATGTTGTTGCACTTAATGCAAGAAGAGCCACAACACCGTTAGGGTTGTGTATGTTGTTGCACTTAATGTAAGAACAGCCACGACACCTTTAGGGTTCATATGTTGTTGCACTCAATGTCAGAAGAGCCACGACACCTTTAGGGTTTGTATGTTGTTGCAAGTAATGCAACAAGGGACAAGACACCTTTGGGCTTTGTGTGTTGCTGCACTTAATGTAAGAAGAGCCACGACACCTTTAGGGTTTTTATGTTGTTGCACTTGATGTAATACTGTAAGAAGAGCCAGGACACCTTTAGGGTTGATATGTTGTTACACTTAACGTAAGAAGAGCCACGACACCTTTAAGGTTTATATGTTGTTGCACTTTCTGTAAGAACAGCCACGACACCTTTAGGGTTTATATGTTGTTGCACTTGATGTGAGAAGAGCCACAACACCTTTAAAAATTGTATGTTGTTACACTTAATGTAAGAAGAGCCACGACACCTTTGGGGTTTTGTATGTTGTTGCAAGATGTTGCAAGTATTCTAAGAAGAGCAACTACACCTCTTTATGTTGCACTTAATGTAAGAAGAGCCACGACACCTTGAGGGTTTATATGTTGTTGCATTTAACTGAATGTAAAAAGAGCCACGACACTGTTAGGGTTGTGTATGTTGTTGCACTTAATGTAAGAAGAGCCACGACACCTTCAGGGTTTGTATGTTGTTGCAGTTATATAATGTAACAAGGGACAAGACACCTTTGGGCTTTGTATGTTGCTGCACTTAATGTAAGAAGAGCCACGACACCTTTAGGGTCTTTATGTTGTTTCACTTAATGTAATACTGTAAGAAGAGCCAGGACACCTTTCATGACACCTTTAGGGTCTGTATGTTGTTGCAATTAGTGTAAGAAGAGCCACGACACCTTTAGGGTCTTTATGTTGTTTCACTTAAGGTAATACTGTAATAAGAGCCATCACGCCTTTAGGGTTTATATGTATTTTTTTTACACTTAATGTAAGAAGGGCCACGACACGCTTGCCATGGACACGGATGCAAAGGTTTTGCCTGCCTACATGAACAATACGTAGTATACACTGCGCCCAGCACAGTTGCTTTTAGATGCGCCTTGAAAAGTTAGGACATACCATGAAGTGAACGAGACACGCCCTGCACAGTTGCATTATGGCCCGCCGTAGTAGTTCCTGGCTCTTGGGTCTATTTCCTTCAGCAAACATGGGATGCAACCCGTCTATGACAATACCTCCACAAATATCCACACCGAGACTCCTAGGCAAGCCCGCACGCATCCAGAGACAGCACCGTTTAGCCCTGAGCCCTACACGGCGGAGATGTATCCACTTTACGCCCGAAGCGAGCCCAAATTTACGCCCGGAGCGAAACCAAATTTACACCCGAAGCGAGCCAAAATTTACGCCCGAAGCGAACCCCCGCCCCCCAAATATTCCAGGCTTAAAGTGGGGGGATAATGAAATTGTATCCACAAAAGGAGAAAGGGCTCAGATGCTTGGTTCTTTAAATACAACAAGTTGCAGGATGACCTTACCCTCGCATTTTCCAATGTTTGCACGTATCCGTTTTCAAACATTCCGCAGTCACACAGTGACCTACTGATCTTCCCGAGACGCTGAGTTCTGCCCGCAGGAATAGCGCAAGAGCTGCCTGTGTGTGCTACATGTGGTCGTCGACATGGCAAAATATGGCAAAGCTTGATGGTTCCCTATGGCTCCCTAACAAGTTGTTTTAGTGTAAAGCAGTTAATTCCGTTTTTAGTTTTGTTGTAGAGGAATTTTGGGAAGAAAGAGCTATGGGCTTGAGGCGTTCAAATGCTACATCAAAATCCGCAATGATCTTGATGGAGTTGCCCATTTTTCCCCACCTGCCAGGTGAGGGTTGTTAGATTTTATGTCAGTTGCCTCCTCGTCCTCCTCCTTCTCCTCCTCCTCCTTCTCCTCCTCCGCCTCCTCCTGCCTCGTCCTCCTCTCCTCCTCCTCCTCGTCCTCCTTGTCATCCTTGTCGTCCTTGTCGTCCTCGTCGTCCTCGTCGTCCTTGCTCAACTGCGACCCGCGATCCACAGTGTTCTCTGCCGGACCTCAACCACGACCACCCACGCCCAGTGTTCCCTGCCGGACCTCAACCACGACCATCCACGCCCAGTGTTCCCTGCCGGACCTCAACCACGACCATCCACGCCCAGTGTTCCCTGCCGGACCTCAACCACGACCATCCGCGCCCAGTGTTCCCTGCCGGACCTCAACCACGACCATCCACGCCCAGTGTTCCCTGCCGGACCTCAACCGCGAGTATCCATGCCAAGTGTTCCCTGCCGGACCTCATGTAGGAAGATTTGCCAGATAGAATGCCAGAAAATCTGCCAGAAGATATGCCAGATAGATATGCCAGAAGATATGCCAGATAGAATGCCAAATAGAATGCCAGATAGAATGCCAGATAGAATGCCAGAAGATATGTCAGAAGATATGCCAGATAGAATGCCAGGTAATATGCCAGAAGATATGCCAGATAGAATGCCAGATAGAATGCCAGAAGATTTGCCAGATAGAATGCCAGAAAATATGCCAGAAGATATGCCAGATAGATATGCCAGAAGATATGCCAGATAGAATGCCAAATAGAATGCCAGATAGGATGCCAGATAGAATGCCAGAAAATATGTCAGAATATATGCCAGAAGATATGCCAGATAGAATGCTAGAAGATATGTCAGATAGAATGCCAGAAGATATGCCAGATAGAATGCCAAATAGAATGCCAGATAGAATGCCAGAAGATTTGCCAGAAGATATGCCAGAACATATGCCAGAAGATATGCCAGATAGAATGCCAAATAAATTGTCAGAAGATATGTCAGATAGAATGCCAGAAGATTTGCCAGTAAGAAAATGTAGAAATGTCATGGTGGGGATCACACGAAGTAAAGTAATTGACAATCTCACCGGAGAGTTTCAGCTTGTTCCCCAGTTGTTTCCAACTTCAAACTGGACTCATTTCATGCCAAACTGTTTCCTATGCAAGACCAGAACCAGCACCCTCCCAACCTCCCAGCGGCTGGCACGCTCATGAGCCCGCACCAAAAGGTTCAGCCGCTGCACAGCTGATAGGATCGTCTCCTACCTCTGGGACACACGGTGAACACACAAACATAAGTGCGTCTCTACTCAGTAGATATCTCCAGGCGGTTTGGATGGCAAAAGCCTGGGCAAATACAAAATCCGATACTTCCAGCATGTGTCTGACTCAAAGACATAGCTGCCATAGCTTACCCCTGTGGTCCAGTCCTGCGGGAACTTCCCCGCCACAGCCCTGCATGGACTCTGCCGAAGGCAAAGCGCATCTGCACATCTGACCGAACGATGAATGAGCTTCTGGTGGATTTTACACTTTTGCGTCCCTTGCACAGAAGAAAAAATTGACGCACTGTTTCCATCTGAACCTCACACCGACTTCATATTGTGTATCTTTTCACTACCTTTCTTGAGCACAAATTCTGCTCAGAGCAAACAGCCAGCTTGCCAGCTCTGCACTTGTTTGGAGATCTCCCTGTGTCGCTTGTACAGTCTCTAGATTATGTCGACATTGCTGAGCCACACTTGCATCGCGGGCAAGGACTGGCCCAAACGGCCCAAACCCATGAACATCTTTCCTAGTCACGAATCCTTCCCCACATGTTTTCTCGGTCTCACACTTTTTTTTCTCATGTTGATTTCACGTTGCTCTTCCGCAAGTGATGGGAACGAGGCCTCAGCGACCCCGTGTCTCAGACTGGAAAACAACAGGAACACTTTCTATACTGGACTTATATGGATTTATACTAAATATTACTAAATTAAATCAGATTGATCGCTTCAGATTCCCAAATCACATGAAAGATCTCAGTTTGGAAAGGTGGAAGAGTCCATCCAACGAGGTTAAAAGGTGGGCAGATTACTCTGTGTCCTTTTTAGTTTGAAACAAAAGAAAAGGTTCTTTTGATACCTTTTCTAAGTCCAATCCAAGGCCCAAACAATGTCTCTTTCAAAACTTCAATGAACTTTGTCACTGCCTGCAGTCACAGCAAAGAAAAAGCACTCACTCATGATATTACAGTTTTTTTCACAAAGTGTAGCAAAGTGGGTCACGGGTATGCAAACCACTATTACCTTCAGGTCGAGAAGAAAGATTACGACCGGATGGCCTGGGTAAAACGGTACTACAACTTGTTGCAGGCCATATTTTCCTGTGGGATGGAAGTCTACGAACTCAAGATACGACTTCACAGCCAGCGACTTTGCAACCAGGATGGGAAGAAACGTGGCCAAAGCTATCAGCTAGAGCAAACCCTTCTTTCTGCATGGCACTTCATTCTGTGGACTGTGTGAAATTGTGATTTGATTCTTTGGTTTGGCACCTGGACATGTGTTTCTTTTGCGCCAGACTCGACATGTCGTAGTCCGGGCCTGGGTTCCGCCAGAGTGTGGCCAAGTAATGTTGCCGTGCGATGAAATTCCTTTTTCACACGATCAGCTTTTGTCACCAGGTGCACGGACCCAACCACCACTGTCTCATCACTCAAGGTCTCGCCCTCCAACCAAGTGCCTCGACTATGACGAGCCAATAGCTTCACACGCGAGGGGATCCTACTTTGGTAACTACACCTGACCTCCAGAGTGGATGCTTTGACCAAACCCCACACAATGAGAGGTACAGAAAAACAGTGCCCACACAGGCCGTCAGATTTGCACCGTCACTACATATCAAGCACCAATACCAATCGAAAATGAGCATACCGACATTTGCCAACAGCTGCAGGATCTGGAAACTATATATCGGATCACCAAAAAATACCCATCACCACTGACCTCATCCCCATACTTGTTCTCATCCTCATACCAATACTATTTGATGATGTGCTCATGCCCACTCCTATACTGATAGACTTATAAACCCATATATATGTTCATCTACTCATCTACTCATGTGCTCATATATTCGTAATCATCATGTCCAAGTTCATTGTTGTTATGTGCATTAATATTGTCGTGGTCATCAGCGGTATTGTCATCGTCGTCGTCGTCGTCCTCCTCCTCCTCCTCCTCGTCGTCGTCATCATCATCATCATCGTCGTCGTCGTCGTCGTCATCATCGTCCTCATCGTCATCATCGTCGTCGTCGTCGTCGTCGTCGTCATCATCATCATCATCAGCACCATCATCGTCGTCGTCGTCGTCGTCATCATCATCATCATCATCATCATTTTCCATACTTTGCTGTATGTGTTGGATTATCCGTTTGTTTTCTTCATCTTCATCTTTATCTTCTCCTCCTCTTTGCTCCTGTTCATTAGCATGACGGCAGATCTCTTAAGCCCACAATTGAACCTGATGTGGGTGTCAGGCCAAACAGAAGCCACCGCCAACTTGAGACAGGCCACATGCGCCCAACGTGCAGCCGTTGCTGACCTGTCAACTGGATCATGGAGAAATGCCATGCTGCCACAAAAGTCCGAGACAAGACGAACTTATTTCGTCATATTTCGACCATGTTTTGTTCAGTATCAGCCAAACGATTTTGATCGATTTTGGCACCAAGTGTTGTCCTGTCCCACAAAAAGATCCCAAGCCGAGGTCCAAGCCGAAGATCCAGGTTTCAGGACCGATCTGCACCTGACTTCTGGCCCGGCCATCACAGACTGACAATTCCTCCAAGTTCACACGCAACACTGGTGGCAAATGGATGGCAAATGGACGGCAAATGACAAACAGGGCTTGAGTTGTTCAATTTGCCAAAAGCATTTTGGGGTCCCAGACTCGAGCACGTTTGCATCGCCAACACGTCTTCCACCCTCACCAAGGACTTTGGAACCAACCTGCAGCCAGTCAAATTTTCGATTTCTCACGGGCTGGGATATGATGGGTTGCCGCGCCTCCAGCATGTTGTGATCACCGATCACCAAAGGCACTTCCGAAGAATTCACAATCTCGACCTGTTCCTCACCGGAAGTCTATGTCATCTATGTCATCTATGTATTTTTTGATCATGTCAGCTCTTGTGTTTTACTAATGTGGGTTCCCCCCTCATCAAAACCATTTGAGAAGGAAAGGTGGAATGATATGCACGTAGATTGTTCATTTCGTACTCCTTTGAAGTCACAATGTTGCATTCATTATATTCAAGTTTCCTTGGTCAGAACGGAACTGAAATTCGGAAAGTCAGATGGGATAAATTGAGGATGACATCTGAGTGAGCAGGGAAAAAAAACCATCATTTGGAAATGTTTTTTTAATAATTCCAACCCAACCCATAAGTCGAAATTTAACATTGCTCCACACATCATGTGTAAAGCACGTTTTCTACTGTCGCCACCAAATCCCAGACCTCGATGATGTTAAAGCAGCCTATGACAATGGGACCCGCCTGGCAAAGTGAATCGCCAATTTTAACCTCTTTGGAGTCCTTGGAATGATTAAGTGGTACCATGGTTTTTAGTGGTGAATAAAGATCAGAGGCATCAGAGGCATCAACAACATTACAATGCATGAAAATTGTGTTTTTTTTCCCAATGCCAGGTGCAACATGCCCAACAGTTCTCTGTTCCAGCACGTTGTGTTTCAAACACCCAGCATTTGACGAAAAACAATACCCGAGCACCTCCGCATGGATGATGCTTGCAGGATGCACAACCTCAGCAAAACATTTTCCAACGCAGACTTCGACGAGGGCAGACCATATTGTGTTGGTACCAGCCCACGCCCCACAACTTGTCAAGGTGCTGTTCCTTCACCCACCTTGATGCCATGACTTCCTTGAACCTGCCGCTGTTGCCGCTGTTGAAACATGTTTTCACTCAGTTAATGCATGCCCGATCAGTCCTTCGCATCTTGACAAACAACTGCATCTTTGTGCACTTCGCACCTGCATTTGGATGTTCGTGAAACATACTGTAGTCGTACTGATTCAACACATGATTGATTTTATCGTTCAAAATCCTCGTGAAACGAAAATAAAAGAAAATAATGGCCAAATATAAACAAATACAATCAAAACCCCGTTCCATTGTTGCCATTGTGATGCAACAATGGTCAACACATTGGCTGCTGAGAACGAAACTGAACAAGTGATTGAGTTGATGTTGCAAGTTTCGCCGCCATGGTTGCCGTCAATTCTGAACAAGGTCACCAGGCAGCTGTTTGGGCGTTGGTTTTTGTCTAACCATTTCGGATCACGTGCGAAATATTTTGGCAATCTAATTTTTCATGTGGTGTTTCCATTTTTTTGTAACAACAGTGGTTGATACGAAATCAAAAAACCTGAAAAAAAAAATTATAAGATTTATATCGCAATGAAGCGAATGAAGTTGCCGAATGTTTAATTGCCATTTCTTACAATAGTATTGTTTTTTGGTCTCTGAAATGGTTGGAATATTTTTTTGTGAATTCAATTTGCGTGTTGCAAGTTGTCCCCTTGAACTTGAGCCAACATGCTGGTTCTCCCAAGATGCATGCGATGATAGTGCGCCAAATTGTCCCAAACAATGTTGTTGTTGTTTTCGTTGTTGATTCGGCCACACCATCCCACATTTAGTTCGAGTTTTGGACGTTTTGCAAATTTTGCCGTTAAGAATCATCACCACCACCACCACCACAACAACAACAACCACAACTACCACATTTAGTAAGCGCCATCACTACCACACCCTCATGACAGCCATTACCACAACCATTGCCACCAGCACCAAGCAACGGGAGCAGCAACAGCAACAGCAACAACAACACCACCACCCACCACCACCGCCACCAGCATCATCATCATCATCAACAACGACAATAACGAGGAACAAACAACTACTTAAGCGCGGTGTTTCTACATAATATCATTTGATTTCTACAGCACCCCTCTCACAACAACCGCCCCTGCCGCAACAACATGGTTCTGTAACCCAGACTGTTCACCATTTTGGGTGAATGTTTTTTTACTCATCGTTCTGCTGCTAACTGAATCCCAAAAAAATGTCCCTCCGTTTCTCATATGATCCCACTTTTTTAACAACAAATTCCCCCAAAATAAGCAAAGTACAACTGACCGCTCTGAACCAGCAACAATTGATTTCATTTCCTTCCTGGTGGTTGACATCCATGTTTCATGTCATCAAAGCAAGTTGGGAAGCAATACTTCCGTGTTACGGACAAAAAGAATTGGGAGACTTGACATTGATGAAGGGTGGTGTGCGACTGGACATCACATAACAGTACATCACACAAGAATTGACATTGATGAAGGGTGGTGTGGGACTTGGCACCACATAACAATACATCACAAAAAAATTGACATTGATGAAGGGCGGTGTGAGACTTGACATCACGTAACAATACATGACACAAAAATTGACACTGATGAAGGGTGGTGTGAGACTTGACATCACATAACAATACATCACAAAAGAATTGACATTGATGAAGGGTGGTGTGCGACTTGACATCACATAACAATACATACATCACAAAAGAATTGACATTGATGAAGGGCGGTGTGAGACTTGACATCACGTAACAATACATGACACAAGAATTGACATTGATGAAGGGCGGTGTGAGACTAAGGGAAGTGGTGACGCAGGGAGGTGGTGACAAAGGGAGTGTGGTGACTTTGGGAAGTGGTGACGAAGGGAGTGTGGTGACTTTGGGAAGTGGTGACTAAGGGAAGTGGTGACGAAGGGAAATGGTGACTTTGGGAAGTGGTGACTAAGGGAAGTGGTGACGAAGGGAAGTGGTGAAGATGGGAAGTGGTGACGATGGGAAGTGGTGACGAAGGGAAGTGGTGACGAAGGGAAGTGGTGACTTTGTAATGGCTGCATGAATGTTGCATGGGGCTTGTGTTGGGGAGGAAGCCGGAGCACGAAACCAATTTTTTCCGTGTGAAGTGGCTGCAGGCGGCGATGAAAGATACCTCCTGTGTGCGGCGGGTGCGGCTGCGGTCGTTCCGGGCGTAATGGGTTCCTCCTCTGCGTTCTGCAACGAGTGGTTGTTCCTGCGTGCGTAGTTTTATGATTTTATGCATTTCTTGAATCTTTGGTTGCAGGTCGCATTGGAGTGGCTGCATGATTGTTGTCATCTGGTGTTGCCCTGTGCGTAGAGAGATGCAGGTTTGTTACATGGTGCTGCAAAATGCATTGTAATGGCTGCATGAATGTTGCATGGAGCTTGCGTTGGGGGAGTCTTAGCGGGCGGTTCCGAAACAGCAAAACACCATGGCACTGAAGGACGGAAGCGGCGCCTAGCAAGCAGGCTCCAGTGCCTAACGTTGCCTTCACCAACAAGAAACCAGCTCCAAAGTGCAGCTCCCATGCCTTCAAAACAGCTTCACAGCGAAGTCTTAGCGTGCGGTTCCGAAACAGCAAGACACCACCCAAAAAAATAAATCTTGTGGCGCACAAGCGTCCGGCTACAGGAAAACAATTTTCAGGGTGGGCAAGTTTACTAGAACATACCTTGAAGGTATTCCGAATGGGCACCACATTCTTCCTCCTTTCCAACCCCCCAAAATTGGCCCCCTTAATTGTCACATTTGCCAGCACCAAGACCCCGGCAACCTTCATACCAAATCAGTCCTGCCCACCAATCTCGCGTTGAGCAGCTTCCTTCAAAAATGGAAGGGAGAGAACTAGAAAGCGCTGGCTCCAGACAAACGGACAAACGTATGCATTAGGACGTTCCCCTTCCTTGTAACAGTGACCACAACTGGACAGCACAAACGGAGCACCACAAAAATGCTCCAAATTGAGTTTACCTCTGATCAGAAGTCCCATATACAGCCATGCTCAAATCAGAAAACACTTTTTTTCCACTACCCTACCCCTGCGGAAGCTCCATGGTGCCATCAACATTGGCACTGAAGGACGGAAGCGGCGCCTAGCAAGCAGCTGCAGTGCCTACTGTTCAAGCTTCGACTCGCAGCTGTTGCTGGTCAAATCAGTTTCAACTTGAAATAAACCCTTCAATAGATTTGCCACAATGAAGGGGCCAAAACTAGACCCTCCAGGAGGCACCACTTTTGATTTCAAGGGGGTCCACTTTCTGACCTCTTTTTAAACACGTTTCCTTTGCACGGGGGTCCAAAACTGGACCCTCAAAAAATTGAATCCGGTGCCTCCGTGGAGGTCCAGTTTTAAGCCTACCCAAGCACCTTCTTCAGCTGCGCTGTTCCAATGTAGAAACGCATCAAACCAACACCGAGTTGGCAATAAGGGCCTCGAACAAGGGAGGCCCCAACTGCGTCTCCAAAAATCATATCAATTTCAGGTGCCAAAAACGAACCCAAAACTAGCCCCTTGCACCTGCTTGTCTTGGTCATGACAATTTTTCCCTTTCTGTTCTGTGAAAGAGGTTCCATGTTTCCAAAGCCTGCAATCGAAGCGCTTCGAAGCTAATAGGTCTGCGAGCGCCGTGTCTCTGTTGAAGTAGCTAAAATCATCATTTTCTATGGGTTTCAGAAGCGACGGCAGACATGCAACATTCATGCAGCCATTACGATGCGTTTTGCCAGCATCATGTAACAAACCTGCATCTCTCTACGCACACGGCAACACCAGATCACAACAATCATGCAGCCACTCCAATGCGACCTGCAACCACAGGTTCAAGAAACGCAAAGAACTACGCACATAGACACAACCACTCGTTGCAGAACACCGTGGAGGAACCCATTACGCTGCTGCACAACGACACGGCCACATGGCCCTGCCGGAAGGGGAAACACCATGGCCCTGAAGGACGAACTAGTCCGAGAATCGCACCACAAAGTGGGGCTTGTGTTGGGGAGGAAGCCGGAGCACGAAACCGTGTATTTTTCCGAAGTGGCTGCAGGCGGCGATGAAAGATACCTCCTGTGTGTGGCAGGTGCGGCTGCGGTCGTTCCGAACGCAATGGCTTCCTCCTCTGTGTTCTGCAACGTGTGGTTGTGTCTATGTGTCGTTTCTTGAATCTGTGGTTGCAGATCGCATTGGAATGGCTGCATGATTGTTGTGATCTGGTCTTGCCATGTTTCTGGCGCCGCGGCTGCATGCGTAATACTTTGTCTTTTGCAGCTGGATCTTGTAATTAGTATTGGAGTGGCTGTATGAAGGCTCCGACAGTGATTTGTCAGCAGATTTTCACAATTTTTGCGCTAGCAATTTTCCTTTTATTTTAATTTTTTAAAGTGCTTCAAGATCTTCTTTTTTCGCTTTGGCGTCGAGATCCGATTGTGGAGCTGCAATTTCCGACGCCGTTGCGCGTAGTTTTATGGTGTTTCGCAATTCAGTGTCTGCAGATCGCATTGTAGTGGCTGCGTCAAGGCGCATGCGTAATACTATTGTCGCACACTCTCAAAGGTATAGTATAGCTCATGAAAAGAGCCATGGCACTGTAAAAATCCCGTAGCAGCTCATCGCTCAGTGCGGGGTCCAAAGTTCCGCATTACAGGTTTGTAGTACGGGGCAGACGAAGGCGATCTCGTCGAGTAGTGGTATAATGCCCGTTTCAGGACCGTGCATAGACAGCTAGCCGCGGATCGATTCCCCCAGGTACGGGGCCGCGATCGTGACGTGGTAGACGAGAAAGTCTCAATACGCCGCGACCCGCCGAAAGGCACAGGGTGCCGGTCAAAAAAAATTGTAGTACCTCGCAGATGAGCCATTGGGGCAGACTTTGCTGCGGAGAGGCGCACAAGAGAGCAACACTGGACAGCGCCAGTGCAGCTCGCAGTAGGTGCATCATCAGATCATGGCGACGGCCGGCTACGCCCCCACCCCCTTTATCCCAACACTCAAGAAGGTCAAATCAACAGAAAACCCAAGCAAAAACAAATTCAAAAAAGGCAACGCAGAACGGGGGCAAGGCCCCAACCCAAAACAGCCTGAGTGCAAAAAAAATGAGGTGACATACTGTGCAGGTCTAAGTCTAGCAAAATCCTCAGTTGCGCAATGTGCTTAGGGTGCCGCACAGTACCAACTCGTTCAGGGACGTGCAGGTAACACCAACTCATCCAATCCAGGGGAAGGTGCACTGCTTTTTGCCATACCAGCGTGTGAGTGAAGCAACACAGCACTGTGCGGAAACTAGGGATCCCCCTCAGCCAGGATCGCTGAGATCACATAGAGCAAGCCATCAAGGCATTTACCGGTTCTATAC